GGGAGGGTATGTGCTATGGTGAGAGCTGTGAATTGTGTAAGACTGATGAATCACAGACTTGTACCCCTGAAACAAATAATACATTATATGTTAATAAAAAAAATAAGTGAAAAAATAAAATCTCACCTATTTAGGGGAACCTGGGTGGCTTAGTCGGTTGAGTATCTGACTCTTGATTTCTGTTCAGGTCATGATCTCAAGGGTCGTGAGACCGAGCCCTGCGTTGGGCTCTGCGTTGGTGTGGAGCCTGCTTGGAATTCTCTCTCTCCTCTCCCTCTGCCCTTTCCCCCACCCCCTTCTCTTAAAAAAAACACACACACACACACACACACACACACACACACACACATGCACACAAACAACTCACCCATCTCACCTATTTAAAATAACCAAGTTACGTAGTAGTTTTATTAAGATAACAAACTTCGGGGCACCTGGGTGGCTCAGTCGTTGGCGTCTGCCTTCGGCTCAGGTCATGATCCCGGGGTCCTGGGATCGAGCCCCGCATCGGGCTCCCTGCTCGGCGGGAAGCCTGCTTCTTCCTCTCCCTCTCCCCATTTGTTGTGTTCCCTCTCTCGCTGTATCTCTCTTTGCCAAATAAATAAATAAAATCTTTAAAAAATAAATAAAATAACAAGCTTCGGTGTGTTTAAAAGTGTATCATGTTTATGGCAGATTCACACAATCGGTTAAGGAAGTGTGATTAGCAGGGATTGTAAGTCAATAAGATGCAGTTTTTGTTTTTTTCTTAAGATTTTTTATTTATTCATTCGAGACACAGAGATACAGAGAGACAGAGAGAGCATGAGCAGGGGGAGAGGCAGAAGGAGAGGGAGAAGCAGGCTTCTCCGCCGAGCAGGGAGCCGGATGTGGGGCTCGATCCCAGCACCCTGGGATCGTGACCTGAGCTGAAGGCAGACGCTTAACCATCTGAGCCACCCAGGCGCCCCAAGATGCAGTTTTTAAAAAGTGAGGTGGTAGTTTGTGAAAGTACTGGAATGCGAGGTTATTACTTGTCTTGAATGAGTCCTTTTTTCTCAAAGCATATTTAGTTGTTAAGCCCTGGTGTGGTTTTCGATGCTTACTGACAACATTAATGTTGTTCTTGGGCAGAATTGTGTTTCTACGGTTGAGTTATAGAATGTCTTTTTTCCCCTCTTGTAGATCCGACGGAGGCGCCTTGCACGACTTGCTGGTGGACAGACCTCCCAGCCAACCACCCCGCTCACCTCGCCCCAGAGGGAGAACCCTCTGGGACCTCCTATAGCAGCATCAGCCCCAGGCCCCTCCCAGAGCCTTGGTCTCAATGTCCACAACATGACCCCAGCTACCTCCCCAATAGGTGCATCAGGTAAGCTTTACTTTCATACCTGGGACACATTTATAATTTCAGTCATGGCTTTCTAGGAAGCTAATGGTTGTGACGTTTTCACAACAGGGTAAAATGAATTGGATAGCAGCTTTTTAAAATCCTGCAAGCAAAAAAAAAAAAAAAAAATCTGCAAGCAGTAGTTTAAAAGATTAAGATCATTATACTGTGTTTTGTTAATCTCTATTCATTTTGATGGTGATCTGTTAAAACTAATTGTTTTCCTTTCCATAACTTTCATCCTTCGTTTCAAACAGGCTCAGGTCTTAATCTCTGATGGCAAGGCAATTAAGACTTAATTTGGCTCAGCTGATTTTATGAGTTTGGTTGGTGCTTTTCTTTTATGATAAAACCATCTGAGAATGCAAGATTGAAATAGTGGTCAAAATAACAAGCCTCTAATTATGGATTTCCTTGTCTTCATTTTACATTGTCTTGTAACTCTTTCTCTGAATTTTCAGGGTATAAAAGTTTACCTGATGGGGTGTTTTATAGCTATCTCATTGACAATTATATAACTGTTGTGAAAATTTCTTTCTTTATAATTAATGGGCTCACAGTTGATATCCATGACTGTCTTTGTTGGGAAACAGTGATACTGACGCATACTGTATATTTGAAAATATGTCTTTTATCAAGTGAACTTTTCTACTGAACATAAGAATTATTACCATTATAATAAGTATTATAATTAGGATTCTAATTTTGAAAAAGCAGGTGCATTCAGATCTGCGTTCTTCATCATCATGTCATTGACTAATTTAATATGATTGTTAGTTCTGCAGTCATGTAAAGCACTCCCTTAGTTGCCTTCCACATAATCTGTCTTTCTGAACTAGGTAACTCGTCAATTAAGAGTATTTGCAGAGTTTCTGTTACCATAGCTCTTGTTAGGCATCATGGTAGACTCTTCCCCATGTAAATATAAAAGCTTATACATCCTTCTGTTGATTATAAAAGTGAGAGCTGCTTAGGCCACATCATCAGTTAGTAATAAACAGTGCCTTTGCCTGAAATGTCTCCCCTGTACACCTTTGAGAAGCCGTGATGGTCTTCTGGTAGGGGAAGGGCTCGGGATTCTAGTTGGGTTTTTACCCTTTCCTTAGAGACAGTGCTACCAACAGTGTCGTTTGTCTCACCAGGACCAGGTCCCACCTGGAATGCTGGAGATGGTTGGGGGAGAGCTAGTGGGATGGGGAGGGGCCGAAGATCTCACTGCAGTAGCGGTGGGCAGACTGGAGACGGGAGCTCCGCACGCACATGGTCATCGCACCTGGTCATAGCACCGTGCCTCTTTGGGACGACCAGGAATCATCACAGCACGTGCCCTCTCCTGCTTATGTCAGCCACCGCGTCTCCCAGGTCCTCCTCCCTTAACCTCTCCGTCTCTAATCTGTGTATGGCTTGTTATAGACACCTCTCTGCCCCCACCCCCACTCCCAGTTCTGATACGCTCACGGTCAGTCCCTGGCAGAATCCTTCTCATTGGACAGCCCTTCCCCTTGGGGCTCTCGCTGAATTTACGCTCTTCCTCTGTTGCTTTCTCGTTCCTTCTTCTAGACCACTCTTCCTCCTCCCTAAGAACACATAGGTTTGAACTTCGTGTCGTCGGACCGTATTCCCCACTCCTGTCCTTGGCGCAGCCATCCCCTGAACCCGCTCTCCCTGCCTCATTCGGTCCACTGTCTCCCCAGTACTGCCTGTGTCATGATTCATGGTGATTTCAGTAGCCACGTGGATGACCTTCCAGGACTCTGCCCTCTGACTTTGTGAGCTGCTTTCCCTTAGTGACTTTGTCTTCCATCCGACATCAGCTACTCATGGCCGTGGTCATGCTCTAGACCTTTACGTCTCAGCGACTTCCTGACTACCACCTTCAGCTTTTTGCCTCACCACCCCCCCATGCCACTTTCTTCACTTCTCCCTCCCCTGGGGTCCCCACTTCCCTCCTTTCCCCATTTAAATTCCACAGTCATTCATTTTCACTCCTCTCTCTTGCCTGCCTCTCACTTCGTCTTACTTCCTTGGTTAAACCATGCTCCTGGTTTGTTTCATAAAGATTTTATTTATTTATTTATTTATTAGATTTATTTATTTATTTATTTTAGAGAGAGCCGATGCACACATAGGCAGAGGGAGGGGCAGAGGGAGAGAGAGAATCCCAAGTGGATTCCTCACTAAGTGCGGAGCCTGACGCAGGGCTCCATCTCGACCCTGAGACCGTGACCTGAGCCGAAATTAAGAGCTGGATGCTTAACTGACTGAGCCACCCAGGTGCACCTAAAGATTTTATTTTTAATAAACTGTACGCCCAATGTGGGGCTTGAACTCAACAACCCTGAGATCCAGAGTTCCGTGCCCTACTGACTGAGCCAGCCAGGCAACCCCGTCCATGCTCCTGGTTTCAGATCCCATTTCCTGGCTCCTTCCTGTCTCATGCTGTGGGACAAGACTAGAGAAAAGTCCAGAACCATGCTATCTGTCTCATTTCAGATTTGTGGTCACACACTCTCGCAGGTAGTTAGAGTGTATTTCCCAGTCGCTCCCCCACTCCACAGGTCGTTTCAAACCTCCTCCTTCAGTGGGTAGCACCTCATTTTCCGTGCAGCTCTGGGCTGATGGCCTGCCTTCCTGTTTCATGGAGAAAACAGACACAGGTGAAAGGAGATGTCTGTAAGCTCCCCATCATCGCAGCCTCCTACCCGCCTGTACGTGTGGCCGGTTCTTGTTAAGCCTGGATCGTCCACCCCCGGCTGAATTCTGTCCCCAGGTCCCACCTCCTCTGTCCTACTCAGAGCCTTTGCCCAAGCACTTCCCATCTTTCTTGCTTCGTCAGGTTTTCTATCTCCAGTGGAAAACTTTTATTTTTTTTAACAGTCGTTATGCATGCTGTTCCTTCTCCCATCATGGGAATACATAAAAAGGAACTCTCTTGGTCTCATTTCCCCTGCCAGCTTCCACCCCGCTGGCTCTGCGTCACAGCAGAACCTCCGGAGTGACTTGCCCATCCTCTGTCTGCTCTGTCCTTGCACCCACTGCTGATCCGAATCCAGCCGAGTGTGGCCTCCCGCGGTCTGCTCTCGGTCACCATCTCGGCCTCAGTTGGTGGGGCTTTGGCCCTCTTCTTGAAACACTTTCTTCCTTTGGCTTCCAGAGCTCCACACTCTCGTGGCTTTCATCCTGTCTCTCTCTGCCTCTTGCTGCTCTGTATGGTTCTTTTTCATTTCTCTGACCTGTAAATGTCAGGGGTCTCGGGCTCAATATTTAACCTTTTGGCCTTTCCATATGTGTGGATTCCCTTACTGACTTTATCTGGTTTCCCAGGTTTAAGTATTATCTCTAAGCTGCTGATCCCTAGGTTGATCTCTCGAGCCCAGAACTGTTCCTTGAACCTCAGACTCCTGCAGCGTCTAAGAAGCACCTCACAGTTAACACGTCCAAAGTTGAGCTCCTGCTATTTCCTCACATCTTATCTTTTTGAATCCTATCTCAATAAATGGCAGCTTGTTTTTTTTCTAGTTGCTTAAGCCTAAAACATTACCTCTTCTTTTTACCTCATATTCTAGATCAGGGGTCAGTAAACTTTCTGTAAGGGGCCAGGTAGTAATATTTTTGGTTTTGCAGCCTGTATAATCTCTGTCACAACTATTCGTTTCAGCCCCTGTAGCACAAAAGCAGCCATAGACAATATATAATGAGTGTGGCTGTGTTTCAATAAAACTTTATTTACAAAAACGGAGAGTGGTCCAAATGCGGGGTCCAAGGCACCAACATATCTTGCCTGGATTATTGGAGTGGCCGCCTAACTGCTGTCTCTTAGGGTAGCACCAGACTGGGTCCCACTAAAGCACAAGTACAACCTTGTATAACAGCAGGCTTATTTTTCACAGCAAGCTCATTACGTTGCCATCACAAACTACTGGAAAACTTGGGCAGCTCTAGATGGTTAGTTCTGGCCAGTGCACCTCTATGCTGTGAAGTCCTGATTATGTTTCTCACATAATCATCATTATTCATAATCACAGTTAGGTAGATATTATTAGCTATGTGCCTGGCAGGTTGGATAAACAAATTTTCACGACTTTATTAAATAAACAAGTTTAAATGAAACAGAAAATAAGCACCTCATAAGGTGGGCCACATCAGTCTTCTATTGGCTCCCTCCATTAGCTCCCCGCCTCTTCAAGAATAAAAGTCACAGTCCTTACCTTGACCCCGGGGCTGTGTATGACCTGGCCCTGTTTTGGCTCTGACCTCCTTTCCCACTGCGGGAAAGCTTACTCTTGCACCATGACCAGATCTAGCTGTCTCTTTGCTTTTCTTGGCATTCTGAACAGAATTTTAAAAATCCCTAAGCCTATTTTTTTCTAAAATTTTACCAAAAAGTTATTATAGAATATTCTGGACTTAACGTGATAGATAACATCCATGAGACATAGTACCACCTGTGAACCCCTGATGCAATCTCTGGCTCTCTACACCTCTCCCCCACACCAGCAGGCCATTGCTGTTCTGAATTTTGCATTTATCATGCTCAGATATTTCTTTTTCTTTTTTCTTTTCTTTCTTTCTTTCTTTCTTTTTTTTTTTTTTCTTGCTGCATTGTTAATATGACATTGCTTTTGCCTGTCTGAAAACTTTATAAGTATGGGTAGTATTTTTCCTACAGCTGATTGCCACTTTTTTACAGTCATCATTGATTATGTTGCTTTTATGTTTCAGTTCAGCCTGCTTTTATTTAGGGCCTACAGCAGGCCAGACCCAGTGCTAGGTCATGGGAATGCAAATACGAGTGAGGCTCAGTTTCTTTCCTGGAAGAGCTTACAGTGCGGTACGGGAGAAGGTGTTCTTTCATTTCCTTTTAAGAATCTCTGCTTATTAAATTCTTGGGAGGATGAACTGGTTTTCTTACTTCTTCCCCCCTCTTTAGATCGGTTGGTGATTGCCAGCCTTCGGAAATTCTTAACCCCCTTGAACGATTT